TATGGAGAGGGGGTGGGGCTGCTCAGTCGTTTCGGTTCTCCCCTCCCTCCTTTTTAGGTACCTTATTTCATTTTCGGAATTATGTACCCTTTTTCATTTTCGGAATCATGAACCCATTTCATTTTCGGAATTATGAACCCTTTTTCATTTTCTGAATAATGAATTCCATTTAATTTTCAGAATTATGAACCCTTGTTCATTTTCGGAATTATGAACCTTCGGAAAAACGGAACCTTTGGAAAAACGGAACCTTGGAAAAACGAGTGCGGACATGCCCGAAAGGCATTACCCGAGGTAAACTTGAACTAGCTGTGAACCGAATGAAAAGATTGTCTCCACGTGCTTCTTTGGAGGCCAAGAGTATTGTCATCATCATAAAATAAAAGATAGACCGGAATATTGTCAATGCTGAGGGGGGGGGGGGGGGGGGGGGGGTCATCTTAAAAAAAAAATGGTCTGCAATTTGTTATGAACAATATTTGTTTGCTTTTTTTTTTACTGCAACTTTTTAAAAGATAGAGCAATATTCCCACAGGAATGAAAGAAAGGGGCATCTTACGTTTTGATGATTAGAGTCAAGATCCAATAGGCACAACATTTAAGATAAAAAATAAACCATTTTCAATCAATAAAAGATTAAAAGGACACTTTTCCAATGCTCGAGGGATATTTATTGATTTTGAGAAAAACTGAGGTTTTATACGCCCATGTCATCCCAGAAATTAGTATTCGCTCATATTTTCAGTAACTGCTTATTTAAATGCACTTCATCACACAATGGAAATCTTGCATAATCATCTTTTAAAGCTATAATTTCCGTAAAGTTGTATTCTCATGTGATAATAACATTCACTGTCTTACCAAAGTCTGGCCCAAATGGACTTTTAACATGCCGTTTTTAAAACACCGTTGTCCGATGAAGCACTGGATTAATGCAACCCTAGCACCATTTGGAAGCATATACCGCTTCTACTTCAAGAAAAGCAAACCCAAAACCGGTATACCACCATCACGACGCACGATCTTATCATTGGCATCGTCATCATCATCATTATCATCATCCATAATAATCGTCATCATCATCATCAACATCATCGTTCATCTTCATCATCCATAATCATCACATCATAATTTATACCCATCATCCTCGTAATCGACACCAACTCTCATAAACAATTTTAAACCATCATCACCTCAATCACCAGCACCTATATAGCATCCTCATGATCACTACATCTTTACCGGTTCTTTAATTTATTTAAAGAAAATATATTTTCATGCCCGGGCGTCAGAGTGCAGTGACCTATTGCGTCTGCTGGAAGAGTTGTTTTGTTCAGCTGTCAGTCAGTCAGTCAGTCAGTCCGTACATCCATCTGCAATTGGGCTGCGCAGTGTCATCTCTCATTACAGTTCATGAACTATTAAACCTGTTTCCTAATAGACTAACTCGTTACCTTTTAATTTATATTGTGAATTAAGTCAAAGATTGCAAAAAGTCTATTGTCTGTATAAAACTTTTTGGCACTATAGGCCGATTCATAGCAAAGGTTGGTTTATATGAAAATGTATACCAATGTTTAAAGTCACTCAGAAATTCCATCTTTCCCTCTTTCCCGACCTTTTTCAGTTGTTAGGTTTTATTTCTTATTTTTCAACTAACTGATGATGATATCAAAAGTGGCATAAGTATGCTGTGTTTTATGTGTATACGAAAGTGAGGAGTATAAATGGGTATTACATGTGGCGTCGGATGTATAAATATGAATACTTGCTAAATTCAATATAATGGCATCCTCTTTGCCCATAGTAATTATTCACATTAATTTCCATTAAAAATGAGCACAAGAATTCTACATCTACAACAAATCCCACTTCTGCTAACTTGTCAACTTTCCCAAAGGTTGGTCCAACATAGCAACAAAGTTTTAGTGCATGTAGTGTACTAGGCATGCATATAGTCACAATATTTGAGTAAATTTGATAACAGGTTTTGTGAACTTGTTCTAAATAAATATACCACTCAAAGTATACTTCATTTCAGCATTTCATTTATTCATTTCTTTGACATTCAGCATACACATGCAGTATAACAGACAATAATTTGTGACGTTTTTGTCACCCGCAGATCATAATTTCATTTTTCATAATTTTTCAATGGTTTCTTTTCTCAACTTTGGAGATGATTTTCAGACACTTTGTTCTCCAATAAATCACATATTACATCATAATTGTTCAGCCATCTGGCAAAATGAGGATGAAAGATCATGGGAGGTGGATGAAAGATGATCAGAAATGTTTTAAAAGGTCTAAGACCATGTTGGTTTACATGATGAAGATGAATATGACAAGTAGGCACTGATGTCTACAAGTATCAGCGGATAGAGATCAGAGAGAACATGGCAGCATTTTTATGAACCGCCAAAGGTACAAGTTCGCCGACATCCCATTGCAACACCTACTTTACAATTAATACGTGTTTCAATGTGATGTCAGATAACTTGTACTCATGATGGTTTGGTCTAGGGACAAAATGCTTTCAAGAAATCAACTTTACAATCTTCCACATCCTGCAAGGAAATTAAAAATGAAATACTTGTTTTGGGATTTTGGTCTGTATCATATCACAGTATGAACCACAAACTGGAAGATTTTATGAATCCATCCTTGGTATGAAACACAGGAGTTCCATGGAACAAACAAATATAAATATGGTCTGACATAAAAAGCAATAATTATGAGTTATTACTCAACCAAGAAGAAATAGAGAAAAGAATAAAACTATTCTATAATTCCTGAGGACCTTTCCTCAAAGGATATTAAATGATCTGCAAGCTCTTTCACATGTCTGTCTCAAATAATTCAACACAACTGATTTCTATCTTATAGATATTTGTAAAAAATATGTACATATCTCTCACAATATTTCATAATATTCTGCTAAAGCACATATAGTAAAGAAATATTTACAAAACAAATTCATGATATAAAACAAAAATGGAAATCACAGGTTGTACATAACAGAAATCTCTTTCACAAAACAACGTTAAAAATGACAAATACAAAAATAATGCTGCCCCTGAAGAATGAAATCGACATGATGAGGGAAATCTATTTTTCTAAAAAAGAAAGCATTAAGCCCTGTTGATGGCAACTTATGAGATAATAATATTTCTTTATTTTTTCATGATTTCAGCATAAATTTCTGAATAAACAACAACTAAAACAATACTATTCATTGATTTCACTTCCCTCTCGTAAGTACAATACCATCATTTTTTGTGTGTACTTGTTGTCTGGAAACATCGCATTTACCTGCTCACAGTTAAACTAATAATTGGTACAAATCCTGTCAATTCAAATCAGGGCAAAATTGAAAAATCAATTTTTAAAAATGTACTACAGCAAAACCCATTCACAGGCTGACAAGAATTGCGGCACATAAATAACAAAGTCAATCATATAAATAATAATGCAAAAGGAATATTGTCAACGTCGTCGGACCAATAAAATTGGGAATCAAAAATGCAATAATAGAGGTAAACAGGACATAAGTTATACAACAAAACACCAACAACGTGAAATAGAAAGGATTGTCACAACATGTAATTGCTTGGTCAAATGGAAAAAAATGGCCATTTTAATGTGAATTTGTGTACATCAAACGGAAAGTTTACCATAAAGTTGTTAAGGGGATATCAAATTAGCACAGATTAGCACCTAAGGATGTCTTGTGTAGTTTGGATAATTGTCATTACAAATTAAACATCATAGTTTTGAAACTGGATCTGTTGACAATAAATTAACCAACAAACAATGGCCTATAATGTGATTGTCTTAATTTGAAATGAAACATAATTGATGAAAAAAAACCTATATCTTGAAAGCACTCGTATCTATTTACCATGTTCTGATGAATTTGGAATGGATAGAAAGATAAACTTTAATAAGTATGAAACATTACATAAGATTGTCAAAAGAAAAAATGAAAGTGCATTAAGGAAACAAAGTAATGCTTCTGACACTTAACAATGGAGCAAAATTCATATATATTTTGAACAAGATTAGGCTGTCCATGATAAAGGCCAAACAACACTAATATTTTGTTATATATACCTCATACATAGATTCTTATTCACTGATTGGTCAAAACTATATCACAGGACAAGGTGCATCTCGATCTATCATTGCGTCAGAGGGTTTTGGTTTTCTGTCATTTAACCTTAGGTCAAAAGATTGAACGCCAAAATCCTTTGATAGAATGCGTAAACCCTACAAGACTTTTGCACACAGAAAAAAATTGTGTCAGGCCAACTGTAGATCCACAGTCTGGGCCTAGAAAAGTTAGGTCTAGTCCTACTCCCAGGACCAGGTCTTTGTCCAGCCCAAAGCCTACAGTACGTTTAGCACTGGCAGCTGTTAGACTGGCGAAACCATTCAATGAGTGAGGTGATAGCCAGGTTGAACTTCTCCTCAACCACATTGCCGAATCACCAGCCATGTTGCAAGACATCACAAATGCTCCTGTGACGGTCACATCAACAAACATGTAGCTGACACAAATTTTCATTTTCATGGCTGTGTTGTAAACATTTATAATAAATAGGCCTAAGTCTTGGGCCAATAGGACTGTTAATATGTTCCTGTGAGGAGCAAAGATTGTTGATGTTGGATTTCTTTTAGGATTGTATAAACTGGAGTTAACAATTGAAGTTTGCAGAATTGGATATTCTAATTCTGCATGGTGAGTAAATCTTCTTGATCTCATTTCCTGTTTGTTAGCGCTAGACCTACACCTAGACCTATTCATGAATCAATTAAAAGGATGAGGTATATTAAACAACTGCTCTGTAATCGGATGGTGGTGGAAATTATCACTCACTCGGTAGCCCTTCTATGTAGGTGATAGAAGGGCCGGTATGAACACAACTGTGAAAGTGATAATTTCCACCACCATCCTCATGAGCAGTCAATTAATTTATTTTTAGAAATTCTTTCTTGTAACAAAAACCAACTCCTAAATAACAATTTAATTAGTATCATTTCTTCTTTATACAGATACACATCTCAAATACAAATATCGTCTGTTTGGAGCCAGAAAGGCTTTAACTGTGTGTAAATGAATATGAGTTGACGCCCTTCTGTCTCCAAACCAACGCTATACTATTTTCACTTGGTTTGATTTAAGGGTGTTTTGCACCATGCTACTCTCACTCAAGAGCTACAGTATATACCAAGATCTATTTAGTCTGTAATGCATCATGCAATATAATATGCCCATGTCAAACCTTTATCCCTGGGTGCAGGCATATATTCTGGTTAAAATCCTCTTGATATTGTGTAAAATGAAAAAGAAAAATCTCACCAACTGATTACAAGGTATTGAATACGAAGACAAATGAATTAATGATGAAACCCATTACAAAGGGATGCAATAGAAACATAGACCCCCTTTCTCGTATGACTTATTAACTGCCAAAATTAAAAAAAATGCTGCATTAGAATAGAATGACACAAGCAGAATGTGACTCACATTTCTGTATCTCATAACAACCAACAGAGGAGTACGCTTTTAGGAGGCCTTTGCTACACTCACTTTTTCTCACCCTTAAATAGAATTGACTTTTTCATGGAAGTTTATCACATCATTGGTGAACAAGTCTTATATTGTCTCCAACCAAGTTGAGGAAAGATAAATGGAATCGGTTATAAAATGAAACCGAATACAAATGATTGGAACTGAATGACATACAGGTATTGAATTCTAAGACCAAATCCTTGGCATTTGAATGGATATACATATATCTAATGAATTGGGTCCACATAGGGGAATGAATCATATTTGAAGACATTGGTTCTGGTTATGATACTTAGTGGTAATAATTACTCTCTGGTGTAAGCAACAAAATATGTACATATGATCTGCTGAGAGCCAGAAGGATGGTAACTCATGTACTTACACCTTTCTGACTCTCACTAGATGGTATATGGTACATGTATATCATTGAAAAAAGGTGTCTGGCAGAAGGACGTCTGCAGAGAAATTCCTCACACAAGAGTGATTCTCTCAGCACCCTTCTGTAGGGCACATAATTAAAAAAAAAAAAATATTTACTGTGAATGATTTTCAAACTGTTGTGTGAGATAGATTTGACCATAGAAGACCGTAATACTAACTTGTGAATGAGAGAAAATCTGAATACCGTGATCCATCGAATGATACATGTGTCCAAAGTTTGACAATTACAAGAAATCATTATCAAATTTTACTTTACTGTAAAAGAGTTGTTTGCACATTTCACAATAACAATCATTAATACTTTTAAATAGCTTTTATCTATTTTCCTTTGTCTATTTACAACCTCCCACACTGGTAATAAAGTGCATTTTCACGAAACAGCACAGAAACACATGTCTTTAGGCCACCTACATAACACTAGATCATCATGAAGCTAATTTATATATCTATCTTATTTGAATACACTCAGACACATCCATATTCATACCAGACTGAGTTCTTTTTAGGAGGGTCTGTTTCCCCATCTTCTGGTTTAGATGATGATGATGTTGGTGGTGTTGGTTTTGCTTTAAGAGTCTTCTCAGTGGCAGAGACAGGTCTGGACTTTGGAAGGGGTACGGGTGGTTTCCCGCTGGGACCCTTCGCCTCTGCATTGCCAGCCGTTTTAGCCGGCGATTTTCTAACATTGGAAGGGCTTGACTCTGGTGATCCAGCTATGTTGACAAGACGTAACCTGGCCTCAAGGTTTGCTAGGTTCTCTTTGGTCAACATGTCTTTTCCTCTGGGGCTCAATTGTTCGCTAGACTTGCTCATTTCCCTCGCTGCATTGTCCATGGGGATCGACTTAGGTTTGATGGGCGCTCCATCGGGATAGTGTGGCTTTGGCTTAATCACCTTAGAACCGGCCTCTGGTGGTAAGGCATATGATGCAGATGTCTTGTTATCCTCTCGGGATTGCTGCTTGGCGTATGGCCGTGCCGTGTATGCAGCGGACCCCAAACCCCCCTTACCAGGGCCAGGCGGTCTTTCTCGCTTTGGTGATCGGACAGTGACGATCTCCTCTTCCTCGTCGTCCAGGACTTCAAACTCCACGTCCTTCACGGTCCGTTTGCTGCTGTCGTTGACGGAATGGAGATCCCGCGATACGGTCGCCTCGATGGAGTCCTCCGACCCGTAGGACTTGTGGGGCGCCATGGCGATAGGGCCATCAGTCTCAGTTGCTGGAGGGTGCTGCAGGGGTGGAATATAAAATGGAGGAGGTGCTATAGGTGGGTGTGGTCAAGCTTCTTGCGACAAGTGACACAAGCAAGGCTTGCCAACTTCTCTCTCAATCTCTCTCTGTCCAAACTCACACTCTTACAAGAGAGATCATGTTGTCATGCAAGATTCACTCTAAAGTGCTACAAACTCAGCAATATCCTCAAGCATGACAAGACAAGCTTACAGATTCTCTTCAGAAAAATGCACCTACAGCTACCTAGCACTCCTAATACCTTTTTAGTCATTATTTTATCCATTCAACCTACTCAGTATGTCATAGAAAAAAGAGAAATGCAATTCTATAGGAGTCTCTTGCCTGCGAACCTCGCATCTAGGCTATGTACTACACTACATTAACAAGCTTCCTGTACATGACGGAGCAAATGACTACTCACTGACATCAATAACCTTGCAAAAACAAAAGAGAAAAGTGGATACATCATAAATGATCATTCTAACAAAGCATTGTAAGAACACATGTCTATTGAAATGGACAAGCTCATATGAACATAGCAAAATATGATGCCTAACAAATTATGCTCACGAGAATACATGGCTGACTACATCCAATTGGTTGTATGCACTATTGGTCCTAGGCTAACCAAGTTTATTTCTGTATAAAGCTACATCATGGGAAAAGATGTTTGCCTTTGAGTGACTCAGTCCGAACTCAATCCTAAACTTGATCCTAACCCTTATCCTAACAATGACCGACCGTAATACTTTGTTAGCCCTGGACCAATGGTGCAAAGGACCAACTGAATGTCACCACATGGTTTGGGACACAACTTAAATTGCAAATGGAGACACATCGATACTGGTTAGATGATTCTAAGAGAATCTACTGCTATTACTACATCACATTGAGACACAAGTATAAAGCACAGCACATGCAACAAGTCAGTCCATAACAGCAGTCATGCAGGACACGCACAAACGCCACCAGAGGTGCAAACACAAAAGTACACTTAGAATTAAACGTTTTTAATTTAATTAGCAAAAGGAAAAAGGTGAACCAAAAGCAGTCACAAGTAAGGGAGTTATCACTTAATGTCACAATCTAATTTGTGTATGTGAAATACTTTTGTTTGTTTGTTCGATGTAGTGAGAACATGTTTCCAGCAGATTTGAAAGAACTTTGAAGTTCTATGTTGAAAATATTCCTTTTTAAATCCTTTGTAATAAATGTAGATACATTAAGTGTTCATAAATCGTACAACTTTTCTCCCTTTCACGAATATCTTGTACCATTCAATAACCAAAATATCTGGGGGTTTAAATATTAACCATGGTTTTCAAACCTTCTACAATCATATTGTGACAGTGTTCTAAATGTTATAGCAGATATCAGAATTACAAAAAAGGATAATTCTTTGTATTGTTCCAACATTTGAAATTACTTTTTATTTCACGTCATCCTCATAGTCAATTAAAATTTTGTTATTGTTGATGTTGTTGCTTTTTGTTATGTTATGGTATGGGTTCATGCAATGCAATATGGGTTTTACTACTGTTATTATTAGGCAGTTCAATAGGGTGCAAGCATAGAATGTGCATGAAGAAATAATACTCTGTACTTAGATAAATTTAAAAAGAAAATGTGTGTATATTAAAATTAAAATCAAAATAATCAGACACCAAGAAGACAGACTTAAATTAAATTTGTTTAAGAGTACAGTTTAGCTTCATTTTACGAACCAAATTGAGCAAGAAAACCCAAGAAAAATATAGGCCTACACCTCGCAAGTCTTTTTTATTAAACATATCACTATGGATTCAAATATGATTTGTGAGGTATAAAAATATGCTACACTGTACTTTAAACTTACAGAGCAAAATAAATGCACACTGAGCCACAACAAGCAGGATATTTGGGTATTATTGGGGGAAAAAGTGAATAAAAGAACTGAAATTCACACGGTACACAAGACATCAAACAAGACAGAACGATGCATAATGTTTGAATTTGATTTGGTGCATGTTTATTGGTCAACATGTAAAGATGCTGATAAGTCAGTTAGTATAACACACACACATAGATGGGAGGTCTAACATTGCTAAATGAGGTATCTTACAATGTAGCTGCCTATTGCAACATTTGGGTATATTCCAAATATTGTTCGTCTCTATCTAACACCATGTACATCATTATGCCATTTACAAAATTATGAAATCAGACAAATACGTTGTTGTGAAATTGGTATCTTTTCCAAATGTAGGCCATGTCATGAATGGTGTACATTTTGCATCTCACGACAGCTTCATTGATAAGATAACTGAATGTGGAACAGGTAAAATTATATTTTATAAAAAAATTAAAAAGGAGAAGAAAAACAAATTTAAAAATTCCCATCTAAAGACATTAATTCTGGTAGATAGATTGCAATAAAAATGCTACATAATCAAATGTTTTTTGTTTTTTTACTGATGTACATTTCCACTCTAACTTCAATGAAAGATATATTCTAAAGATATGTACACATATATTACATCCTAAAATTTACATCACACAATTTGCTATAATCATTTCTATATGTACACTAAAACAACTCATATATGGCAGAGATTAATTTGTCAAAAGTAGAGTAAAAATTCCTCAACAATTAATTTTTTGATATTTTCTAACAGAACGATGTAAAAGTATAAAACCAAAAATATTATTTAGAAACTACTTGTTGATGAGATTTTGTAACTATTGCCAGACAGAGAATGGTAGGTGATTCTAAAATTTCTTCATATACGCTGATCAAAATGAAGATTTAGAATACATGTAGATGGGTACAAAGTGTTAGACTTTTTCAACAAACAAAAATAAAGAAATCAAATCTAAAAATGGAATGAGGAACTGGAAGGTGATGAATCATGAAGAACAGCAATCAAATTATCCGCAGATAATTGGGTAAATAAGATGTGCATATGAAAATCGCTGGGTTCTAAATGTTCATCAATATAATATCATGGTGGTGATGAATATCAAATGCTTATTTCCTCATATTTTTAAAAATTATCATATCATTCCAAAGTCTTCTTCTTTTTAATTTAGAAATTAGTTACTTCGATCTACTAAAAGCAAAATAATCTTCATTTTATTTGAAAGAAAATTTGATCAATGCTGGTTGCATGATAAATAATCAACATGGCACGTTCATATTGCTATACAAATCTACTCGGCAAAACCCTTCCAAAGCCCACATATTGCAAGAACAACTTTCACAAAGTTAGAAATGATTTGACATCTTCACATATTTAAAAAGAATAATGAAAAATGAAACTTCCACACCAAAGAGAAATCATGCATAACTTACACCATAATAATCCCAGCAAGAATATCTGAAGTCTATCCGATCATTAAACGACTTGTGCCGAACTAGAGACTTTCAAAATGCAGACAGAAACCAAGAAAATAGGCAACATGCAGCATGCAAAACAGGAACGATGCACATACTTGAACAAATGCCCAATACCCCTAATTTATCTCAGTGTTTTACAGCAGGCTAGACATATCGTGCATTCATCTTATGCATAGCTTTGTCAAATTTGCACCAGAGTATATCAAAGTAAAAATATAAACCCAACAAAGTTTAATCAGAAAGGCCATAATTTGTTTTGCATAGTTGCATAGAGTCCAGCAGCTTCAAATTTGTGGAATGTATATCCCTTCCATCCTTTCTACTGGCTTTACATATATCCCAATCTCTTGACTGATTTATGAAAGTAATCTTTAGATGGAGACACTTTTTATCAATAAACACCGTAACTTTAAAAAATGTCTCAAAAGGAAATGCTTAGGACTAAGGTGCTTAAAATGTAAAATGGTAGTACACTTCAACCGAATGAGAGGTATTAAAAGCCAAGAAAGATATGCGTAGGAAAATAAAGAGTATAGGTAAAATCCACAGCATGCACGTCCACACATACACACACACACTCTTCAGTACATAACAAACATCTTATCGTCTGTTTGGAGTCAGAAGGGTATTAACTCTGTGTTAAAGTATGTGTATAACACCCTTCTGGCTCTGAACAGGTGATATATCAATATCAAGGATTGTTCCCACATGAAGCAGTCAACAACTTTAAAAGATTTTTTTTTAAAACTTTATAAAACCCCCATGACAAATTAAAAATACCGGTAGTAGATATCCCTGATTTGCAGTTTTGCACACTAATATACACATCAGGGGGTACAAATAAAGGCTTGCATTTTTAACAAAACCTAATTTAAACTCTTCAACACTGCGTTTTTATATGTAAACAGTATTATTTTAAAAAAATGTTTATATTCTGCATGAAGTCCATGAAAAAAAAAAAATAATTTTGTCATACACGGGTTTTGAGAAGTGCTGTTACTGTTAGCTGCCGAATGTGGGAACGAGCCTTTCAAGGATGATTCATATGAATATGATTCAGTCAGGATTTGTCATCAAATGTAGGAAGATCTCTTTTAAAACACCATTGTGATGTATCTCATCAATTTAACTTTACAAAATCACATTTATTTCTTCCAGAACATAAAACCGACTGACTTATCTTAGCCATCAAATTAAAAACATAAATAACATAAATATAAAATTAGCACCATCAATTAACAAATAAATCTAGCATTTGATATTATATTTCATATCTGCTAACCAATTCATGGTTCTTTTGAATGACAAGGTTTTGAACAGAATAATGAATTTTCAATCAAAATGTATTCGGCCCAAAGTTCACTGATAGTTTTGTGAGATATTTTGCATAGAGGTGTGTAAGAGATCTTACCTACTTAGATTTTATAATACACAAGACTCTTAATCCGACACAATTACATATCGTTTTGACAAGCAACGTGATATCCTGTGTGCTAGTACTACACATCAGACTAAACCAAAGATATGAAGGTTTTATTATTAAACTTAGTCATTGAGTCTGGTAATCTAATTCTGATTCCTCCCATTCACTTACTGTAACTTACCGTAATTTTCCATTCTTCCATCATTTTCTTTTTGACAGTAGTCAAGTCGGATTATTAAATTGCTATTATCCCATATTAGCACCTCCATGTAAATTAAAGTATCGATTATTACATCAAATTTCCATTTCATGAAAACTTGATTTTATTTTCCTACTCCTTACAGTCCCTTAAATGTTGGGTCAACCGCTATGTTAAATGGTTGTGTCCCATTTACTACCTTTTATGTCGGCAGAATGCAGACCCTTAATAGTATGCCCTTAATGCTATTGCTTTACTTTCTTTTCGCAAACTTGCGCTTGGTACCTACTTTGATGTTTCCATCGCCATCCCGGGAGATGTCATTGAGGTTCTCCATCGACCCCGCCCGAAGGTCCGTCAGGATTTCCCGCGAACGACTCTTTATCCTGGACAACATCCCGACGGCACCCGATCTCTGTCTCATCTTCTCTCCTCTCTGAGGGTTCTTCACATAATGGCTTCCACTGTCTTCGTCTAGAATTTCTAAGACAGGAGACGAGAACAGCAGAATTTCTATTTTACAAAAAACTTTCTCTCTCTGTTATCTTCACTCGAGTTGGAATTTGATTTGGAAACTAAAACATCCCAAAGCAAATCAAGATATCTTTTAAAGAGTTTTGGAACATGCAAACTGCTCTTTGTAGGTTTTTAGTGAAAGTGGCAAGTACTTGGGAAGCATTTTATGTCTTTTTACATACAGTCTTTGAAGAATTTTATTCCTAGTTTTTTTTCTCAAGGTATTGTTTCTAGGGCTTGCTACTGTAGCTTTCTTCTATCATAAATTCCGCTATCAACCTTCAAATTGATAATCATCCACTATTCCATTCAAATAGATCTTTAAACATTTTTCTTCCTTCTTTACTTCATTGTAACTTTGCTTTGTCATAGAAACATACATTACATGCTATCCATGCATCATTCTTGAAAGTAAAATAATGGTTTTGTTTGCAAACCCCCATGGTAAAGATTGATGATGAGAAGAAGAAAAAAATTGTCATGCATCAGTTTACCTTCATTCAAAACTCAAAACTTATAAAGTGACAAGTAAAATTAAATTGTGATTGTTAAGGTTCATTTAAGTATTATCTGTTAGTATTGCCAGAAAGAAGATATATTAATTGAAATGAATTGAACAAAATAAATGTTGATAATTTGTTAACAAACAGATAACCATTAATAAATAAAAAAGGCTTTCAAAATAAAATATGATAGTGAAATCAAACTACAGTGGGTTAATATATCATTAATAGCACCTCACACCAAGTCTACTTTGCTGGAGTCTACAAAAGGAGTATTGAATGGGGTTTGTGTGATTACCGCTTCCACCCGTCGGTGGTGATCGAGGGGACTTGGACGGTGGAGATATATTCTGGGCAGAGTTTGTTGGCGTCGAGGTGTATTGGGGTCTCCCATTGGTGGCTGTTGGAACGGCCGAGGTGGACGGTGATTGGTTGTTACAGCTGGTGTTGAGAGCACCGCTGCTCTGAGAAGTCCTCAGTGTTCCTCTTCTTATTTCAGACTCTATTGGTGGTGTAGGATGTTGATTGGGTGTTGGGTGTAAAGTGTTGAGGTTTGGTGTTTGGAGATCATATGGAGGGCATGCATTACCACACAGGGGGGGGGGGGGGGTAGACCAAGGTGTAAACGTTGGGTCAGAGTCAGGGTCAGGGACAGGATTGAGATGTTGATTTGATCAATTTGACATGCCATTGAGGTTTTTATTTTACATTTAAAATGGGGTCGAATTCAGGTGTTGGAGATATTTGGTGGAGTTGGGGGTATGGAATCCATGTTAGGTGTGAGATCGTTAATAATGGCAGGGGATGAGAGAAGGATGTAATTGGTGTTAGAGAAAGAGGTGAGAGTCATCTGATTAGTAGAATGATTAAAAAGAGGTACATGTACAAAGCGACTAATGTATGGACACCTACATAGAGATTCTAGTTGCTGCATACCAAAATGTTTAATCACAACAATGTCAAAAAGTGATTCTTTCTCTTCATAGGTATGTACAGTTTGTATCCAAAACCTTCTCTTTCTTTTCATCTATTCTCATATTGATCAGACTTAATTACTGAGATGAAAATGAGGTAAAATCCCATGTGACATTTGGCAGAAAATTGTTGTTTGTATTGATTTTTTTTTCTTCAAGCATCTGGCTAAATGAAGTGTCCATACATTTGCCATATACAGGTATAATATGAACCAAGTTAGATGGCCTACATCTTACTTATTCCATCATATTAACGATCAATTCAAATAAAACATACGTTAAAAAGTTATCATGTTAGTCATATATATATATATATATATATAGTAGCTGTATTTGAGAAGAAAGAGCATGAAAAATCAAATTTTAAAATGGTCATATTTCTGGTTAAAGAAAGGTATGTCAACATCATTTCATACAAATGGCTCTGCATATAACCTGCCTGATATAGCTCACGACATATTGCAAATTTGCAGTTGGCTTGCAAAAACTTTGATATTTACTGAGTAAAATTGCAAAGAACGCATTCTGAACATGGATCAAATACAGAAACTCTTTTTCTTTCCTACAATTTTTGACAATTTTTTCCCACACCATGCTTAAAGAAGAATAGGTTTATGGAATCAAAAGTATTGGAGCAAAGTAGCTCGACACACAAGCCACACTAAATCAAAAATGTGTTAAAGCATGAAGGTAATGTTTGGTGCAAGAAAATGTGTCCAACTAGAACAAATCTTCATTTACTGCAAGATTTAGTTTGTTTACATTTATTGTGCATTTGCGAAAAATGCTAGTATTTTAGAGGAAAAGTTTTGTAGCGCCCCGATTCAAGAGTGTAGACATTTCACCATTACATGTACTTTGAAATAATATATGGAGAAATCATAAAGGAAAATGAATTACAGTACTTAATTGCCATATAGAAAGAAAATAATGTTTTGAATACATGTACTACCAAATTTCAACAAGTCACCAACTCATTTTCATGACACATGAAAATAAAAATGACTTAAAAAGAAAAAAGATGTGATATGAATGCAAAAAGTTGAAGACACCACAACAATATCGACACACATGGCAAGTTTAAATAATAAGAAGCAAGAGCGTGATACACATCATGGAGCAAAGTTTCAACAAATGTTCGACTTAACCAAAATATTCCTGTGTATATATACATATCAACACGATAGCCCAAGATACAATGCAAGACCACATGATGCACAAAATGCAGACATGCACACTGAGTGGAGGACCATACATCAATAAGGAATAATATTCTCATGCTACCAAATAATATGAGTCTATGAAACATAGTGAGGAAGATGGTGAAAATAATACGGAAGAGAGAGGAAAAGGATATACATGCAGAAATCTACCCAGAAATAGTAAAGATAATTGATAGAAATATAAAGAGATTGATTCAAGATGTAAGAGATGGGAGAAGGGACATGGTAACACAGATAGAAAGAAAGGGAGAAGGGCAGAGATGAAGAGAGAAAGGCAAGAGGGAGGGAAGATACAAGGAGCAAGGGAACAAGCAGGATGGGAGGGAGGAAGAGGGAAAGGGAAACGGAGAGGGAAAGGGAAAGGGAAATGGAGAGGGGGAGGAATGGGAGGAGGAGGAGAGAAAGAGAGAGAGAGAGGGGGGGGGGGGGGCAGAGAAAGCAGAAATAAAGAGATGATTATATTCTCCAAACAAGAGGGGGGGGGGGAAAGAAAGAATAATATAATGGTTTAGTAAGAAGTGGAGAAGGAGCTTGGAATAGGATGGAAGAAAAAACAAACATGCAAAGTTTGAAGAAAATAAAAAGAAAGAAAAGAAATGATTGAAACTTAAAAGGGTACAGTAAAGACTCAATCAGGGGTAAAAGATAGAGCCAAAGCGTGATAGAAAAGAGATAGAGAGCAGAATTGATACATAAAAGAAGAAGAGCAAAGGTGCGTCTAGATGGAGACAATGTGAAGGTAGTGGTGCATACCAGTGTAGCTGAAACTGTTGGAGACAGATGAAGGAGAGACACTGGAAGGAGGACTCTCCTCCACAGAGTACAGGCGACTGCTCCGACGATGAGCTATGTCAATTCAAGACGTTGAGGTGTGGAGGGAGGGAGGAGGAGGGTAACACAAGGGATACACATCGTCAATGAGGATGGGCTTTTGATAATACGGTTGTTAACCTCTTGGTAATGAGGTGTAGTGTAGAGGGGAGTGTAACCGGTTGAATCGTAGCGTAATGAGAGGGATAGTTGTGACACACGCGCTTGACATGGTCAAAGGTCAATTCATGGAGCTTCAAATGGTTTTCTCTCTATGGAAGGGAACTATTTGGAGCTCCATGAGTTGACCTTTGATTGCGTATGAGTGCGCATGCCATAACTAGCTCTCGCTCTCAATACGCTGTTGGATACTAGGTTAGCCCAAGATAACTTGGACCAAAGTCTTTTGAAAATATTTGTTAGGGTTACCAAGGTCATACTGTATCCAACTGGTTTAACCCGTACATTACCAAGAGGTTAACTTACAAAATGTGTGCGAGACATGATCAAACATACTGACCAATGTTCATATGTATACATGTAATGTATGCATCTGCTTTATGCCCCCCCCCCCTCATCCCCCTGAATAATGAGATGACAGTGAAGCAAATGACTGCACATAAATTGTAATCATGATTGCATCCCAGGGTTTCATACAAAAGCTGGCTAATTTGAGTTCTCAAAATCACAGGTAAGATTTTGTTTGAAAGCTTTAGTTTAGCTCATGACGGTTTAGTTTGCTCTCTTTTGTTCCTTTCTTTTCCTTTCTTTTTTCTTCCTTTTTTTATGACACATGGCATAGCAATGATAAAACATCCTATAAAAGTGCATTAATCATAATGATTGCACACATATACATAATTACCTCTCAATCCCTTCTCTTCAGATATAATATTATGATACGATTCATTTGTATAAATACAATTTCATACATATTTCACAGTCAAGTATTATAGACAAGATATACAAAAACTGATTTAATTTTCTATCATCAAAATATGCCACATTAAATAACAAAGATATCAAGAATCAAATGGCATACCTTAGATGACAGTTTCGATTTCAGCTTCAATAAATTCCATAATAAATATAGCAGAAGCAATATAGTGTCAATATGGCAGTAAATAATTAATTTTACATCTGATTTATGTATGCAATGCATGATTACTTTAGCTTGAATGCATATAAATAGGTTGGCTAATTGGTCATGAGTTGGAAAATGCATTTAATATCTACTCTGTTACAATCCTAATGTGTAATGATTATAGCACATGGCAAGGTTTGTGGAAAGCAATGAAAGGGCATTAGAAGCAATACAGCTGAATTATTGCGCTCCAATAGTTGGATTTGTATTGTTTATTGCATCAGCTAAAAGGTTTATCACTAACTACTGCATTCAAGATTTGTTTTTCTTTCTTTTCTTTTAATTCGTTTTAGATGGGCTATTTCCACTACATTATTCTTAAAGCTTTTTTTTTCTTTACAGCAATGTCAATCTGGCTTTAGAGGTACAATTCAACAATTATAATGACACACTTTTTGGCTAAAAAATGTACATGGGTTGTTTAGCAACCCTGTTTGGGTAAAAAATATTGCCCACATTCTTGGATGGTTATTTCGCCACCAATGTCATTCTATCTTATGTTAAATAGTACCTTCAAGGCTGATATACATGTACTTGAGCATTGTTAGTGCAAAAGCTACTTTCCTTTCTGTTAGGTCTCATCAACCAAGTTTGAGGAGGGGGGGGGGGGGGTGGAGGAAAGGAACCTAATAAAACCATGAATCTATACTAACTCATATTTTGAATATTTCAATTTATGATCACATTTCTAAATTTGTTAATGATTTCATCTTCCACCTTTGACTATAGACTATTCACTACAGGGTCATATTAATGTGTCCAATGCGCCTTGTCGAGTCTTGAGATTATGAAAAACCCCAATTCATTCTGGGGGTAAAAGTCTTGATAAGGAAGAAAGGGTATTTGAATACAGTCAAGGGAAACACAAATGGATAGGATGTTAGGAGCATGCCAGGATAAAGTTACACTACATGAAAGCTAAAAGCAGCAAATGCATGATTAGTAGATGTTAGTCAGCATCATTAAACCACACACAATAATAGCATCTTAAACATATTGATTTCAATCAAGCAGATAAGAGCTTCCTTGCCTCATTAGCTCAAAATATATCCTTTATGTTTACTCTTTCTCTGAGAAAAACCATTTGTTAACTATCACATGACATTTCATACTCCACAATTCCACAAAGTTATGGATTTGAGAAATGACGAAAAACAGGAATAGAAATTCAAGAACAATGGTCATATTGAAGAAAAAAAAGTTTGATAATCTCTCCTGAGATATATGAATGTTTATATATCTATAAAGAAATTCCCCCCCCCCCCCGCCCATTTTTTATTTTGTTCATCCAAACTCACCTAACTCACCTAAGCGTTAGAAGCCATAAAAACCCATCAATATCACACATCCACCGCTGAACAATTCCTCATCACAATTATAAGCAAGCACATCAAAAAACACAACAACAAAAGCATTATACAAATTGAGCAAGGGGTAAGGCATTAGTGCAATGCATGCTGGGTAAGGCGTGAGTGTGTGTGTGTGTGTGTGGTTACCTCTGTCTGATTGGCTGTCCTGTGATTGTGTGTCGTTGTGCAGCATAGGGGTACTGACACTGGGCATCATGCCCTTGTCCAGGGAGTCACGGGACATGCGCAGGTCCTCACTTGAGATGCTGAATGCTCCTGCAGCATCAAAGGGATGATGATCGATGTACGGAGGGAGGAGGAAGGAGGGAGGAGGGAGGAGAGGGAGGAGAGGGAGGAGATGAAGGGATGGAATGGAATGGAACAGAAGATGAGATGAGAAAGGGCCGGTAGTGAGTGGGTGGGGTCACAGTGGGGTTGTGAGTGGTGTCAGAGTACAAGGTGCGTCAAAAGATAAAGGAAATAAATATGAGTGGGTAGAATAACGAGGGAAGATGAAAAGGGCAGTGAGTTGGTTGGGTCAGAGGTGTGAAAGTGATGTACGTCAAAGTACAGGGTGTGTTAACAAAAAGAAAACATAAATGGGTATGGGATATGGGGATATCAGGAAAGAGGGGTCAAATTTGACAGGAGGAATGGTTTGAAAATTTAAGATAAAATTTGTTCAGAGTGTTTACAGGAAATGTCACATTTTAGTAAAAAAGAACGGGACATTTTTCAAAAGGAAAGAAGTGAACAAGTAGTTGAGAGAACATTAGGTTACAGAGAGAGAGTCATAAATACATTGGAGAGGGTTTTTTTTTTGTCAGTTGGAGTTATTCAAGAAGAAAAAGAAATATGCAATTTGATAATAGTTCATAGGGGTTACAAGAAGTACGAAGTTATTCAGTGGTGCAAAGAATAGAAGGCAAGGTTATGTATTTCAAACAAAAATAAAGAATTAAAATAATGTGCATTGACAAGAAGATAGAGGAGGGGGTGAAAATGATAGTTGAATATTGATGTGATTCAGAATATGGAACACATGGCCATGACATGGGGTTTGAGTAGGAATGATAAGTGTAAAAAATGGTTGGAGGCAGGGATAAAAACAAAATTAACAAATAACATTGATGCAAATTCGGGGAGGAATTTGTGCTCAGCAAGCAGGTACACAAATATCAGTAGCTAATTGTGTCAATGAATTTACGTGTTTTAAAACAAAAGTTTCTGCAATAATGTTTCAAAGGAACAAAAGTATACAAGTATAACAGAACATCTGCACAATGTTAATAATGCAAACATAATATTACACTTAACATTATCATCATTAACAGATGAAATTTAAATGCATGCAATATGACTGTGACATATATGTTTTAACAAATTTACTAAAAACGTCATAAAATACTGAGAGCCATACATGTGAGAGCTAGAATTACACCAGTAGGAATAAATTTGACAAAACATTTCTAACGTAACTCTTCTTTCTGGTGCTTGTTATTATGAAATTGAATATTTTTTTCTTCAGTTCACAGATGGTATTTAACTATACCAACAAAAATAGGCTGGATTTATTATCCAGATTCTGGCAGAGACCATTACATGTATGTCATATTTAAAGGCATGTTCCTTATTAAATCATATAATATGCAACATTTTGACTTTTTAAACATTATGAATATAGAAAAGAAATTCCCCTTCTCATTGTATGGCCCAAATGCTCCATTTTTCTTCCTTTTTCCAGTCAAGTAAAAAAAAAAATGACCCTTTTGCTGTATGAATTTGCCAAATAAAATAACATAATATTACAGCAAAATAAAATATTACCTTTTTGCTGTATGTATTTGCAAAATAACGTAGTATCAAAGCAAAATAACTTAAAATTGTGCTTTGCAGAAAACCAAATTGAGAGGGCTTTATACCTTTAGGCATTGAATCTGAATTTCCCTCTAATACATGAGAAGGCATGGATTGTCGATTGGCGGCTGATGACGTAAAGCTGTCTCTCTTTCTCCTCACCACCGAGTTGTTGCTATCCAAGCTTGATCTCCTATCGTCTGTTCACAATGGGGTATTAATATCATGGTTCTCGTTATAATGCCTCTTAATCGAGGTTTGCATGTACATGCTTTCCATTTTGTTCAAATATGACTTTACCATTACTTAACTTTACAAGCATTGCTTTTTAGTGGACCTCTCTGTTTCCAACATGTATTTCTTACATTTGTTTTAAATGCTTATCATTGATTTGTAATGTTTTGTTGGAAACATGAATAAATTGAAATTGAAAAAAATGAAATAAAATACAAGCTTTTGTTAAAACTGTCCCATCACCCAAAAAAAGGTTCAACAGTGAGGTAATCGTTACCTAACCATCTATGTGATCCCACTACCACTCATGATTTTTCTTCAATTTTCCCTCCCAATTTAGATCACCTATCAAACTGAAGAATCATGATATTTAAAAAAAAACTATAAAATTGTCATGCTATACCCAATTATTTCATACATTCAGACTGATTATACAAAGAGTACAGAGGATTTAAACCATGCTTGATATTAGTGAAAAGAGGGAATTGGAGGGTGTCATACAGTTCAAAACATAAATGTTATACACATAAATTTTACAAAGCGATGAATATATATAAATTACGTGATGAGTGCATCAAAGAATATATATGATCATATTCACTGAACAAGAGGTAGAGACAATGACACATATTCACCAATTCCAACATGTCACCTATATACTTAGCGCAATTAGACGATCATGATGGCCATGTATTATTATCAATAACAGTTACCCCATTGCTCCTCCAATGTCATGATAAATGCAATTTCCTTAGATGTAAAGGGTACTGAATATCAACATCCCATCCTATGTCTTACCTAATAATTTTTTGTTGCTCTCCATGACTACTGATCCATCCAGGGAATCGATACCAGAGCCGATGGACGATGCCTCCCCCAGGCTGTCCTGGGCTACATCTAGATGGTTGTCTCCATCCAACGTTCTCCTCTTCTCTCTCTCCTTGTCTCTTGTCTTGCCCTGTCAACGTCACAACAATATATGAATAATGTAAATTCAATGTGAATTACAATGTTATTCATATTTTATATGATCCCCTTTCAAATATGAATGATATAAACTTTGTTATATACTTTGTTGTTCAACTGAATTACAGCTGCATTACAAGTCATCAGAAGACATAGTTTTTAGAGCTAAAAAGAGAATAATCAAACTACATACCTTGTAGATTCTTTTCATAAATTTAAAGTTCAGTCCACCTCCTCTGCTCCTGTAATGGGCAAAGAAACGTATTGAAAAAAATATAACAGAACATCACTACTTAAAAGGTGCATCAATCAATATGAAAATACTGGGTACATATGATATCATACACGATAATACAGTCAAACCTGCTTTAGTAACCACCTGTCTACAAAGACCACATTTTTTGTTTCCCTTGAAAATGGTTTCTCATTCAAACATGTACTATAGGCACCTGTACATAAAGACCACCTGCCTATAAAGACCACTTTTCTTGTTTCCCTTGGTTGGTCTTTATAGACAGGTTTCACTGTAGCTTAAAGTCATGTACATCCTAATGGAAGAAAATCATGTATGAACATCTCATGGGTAGGATTTATAAATAATCGTTATAAGCACATTAATATTACATTGAGCATGGAATTGTATCTTTAAGGAATGAAGAACATACTTCTTTGATGGAGATATGTAACTCTTATACTGCTCCATGATCTTGTTTTCCAGCTTTTCCTTCTGACGTCTCATGTTGTGTAGCTGATCCCTGCAATGAAGACAATTGTGATGATTATTATTATTATTATTATTATTATTTATTTTGCACTTTCAAAAGAAACAAAATCAGGAAACAATATACAATGTACATAGGACATAGTAAATGAATACAAAAAATTGACACTTGCGCATAGATGATATATCTAATATTCCTCTTATGGCAAAATACAAAGACTTTTAATCTAATCACGGCCTACAAAATACTGCAAGTCTTCCGATATCGATCTAAGGGCTATCAAAGGGAACATCAAATTCCTACATAATTGCACAACTTGACATCTGAGAGTGGAAAATAGGTTACAGTGATAAAGTTTGCTCTCCTTTTCCCTGGCCACCATCTTTTGCACTCAGAATAATATAATTGTTGTCATTCTAATTTTGTAATCGGCTAGAATATATTGTTTTACTGTTATATTTCTTGTCAGCGCAGAATAAATAATAAATAAATAAATAAATAAATAAATGAATGAATGAATGAATGAATGAATGAATGAATGAATGAATGAATGAATGAATGAATGAATGAATGAATGAATGAATGAATGAATGAATGAATGAATAAATAAATAAATAAATAAATAAATAAATGAATAAATAAATAAATAAATAAATAAATAAATATATAAATAAATAAAATAATAAACAAATAAATAATAAATAAATAATATATGAATAATAAATAATAAATAATAAATAAATAAAAGTGACTTACTCGAGTTGCCTTGACTCCTCATGGTGGAACTCCTTGGTCTCCAGGGTGTTGACGAGAAGCTCAGAGTTCTGAGCCATGAGCTGGCTCAGCTGCTCCATCAGCTTACGGTTCTCCTCCTCAAGATTGGCATTCAACTGATACAACATCTGAAAGGAGGGAGACAGAGTAAGAGCAATGTGATGTAATGCGGGCAGAATCAATTAAGTGCACACACGGGAGTAACATGGTGAATTTGATGGGGACCAATTGTTGTAAAAGATTTTTGTCCTCTTAATTTCCTTATTGTTCGACTTGAGAGAAAAAAAACAGACATGTCTGGAATAGGGGACATAAGCTATTCATCATCATGAATCATAAATCTGAAGAAAAAAATTATTTGGTAACATGTAAATGTACATGAGGGCTATGATTGTCAAAATTAGGATACCGTGAATGCCGTGTATGCTGACTTTCTAAATATCACAACATGTTTAAACAACACATTGATCCAGGAGAAATGAGACAAGTATATCACAAGGACCAAATTGACTACAAATACATGTCAAAGCTGATCTTCCCAGCACAAAGCAAAAGGATAAAATGAGCTTAGTTTGGAGTCAAGTTGTCCTGCTGAGTGCTTACATGGACTAGATCTTATATTGGACTGAATCTACTCACCTCACATCTATGTTCTAGTTTAGCTCTCTCCATCTCCAATGACTGACACTGGTCTCTTGATTCAGAGAGCTGACCTTGCATGTTGGTCTGGTTCAAGGTTTGTGTTCTGCAATTTGGAATAAATCACAGTGTGTTGTTATCTATACAGTCAAGTCTTTAATCTACTCTAAACTGCTGCTCCCCAAAATCCATATCCAAAAAAATCATCAAAACACAAGGTTAAATCATCAAGGTGTCATTTCACAAAACCACAAAAAGTCCAAGTTCGCCGATACCCAATTGAAACGTGTGTTAAATGTAACACATGCGTTTCAATGGGTTGTCAGTGAACTTGTTCTTATGACGGTTTCGAGAAACGCTGCCCAGGAACTTACATCAATATCACATGTAAAAAATTGCAGTTTCTACGTCATGTGGGAGTGCATATTGTCAAATAACATTTATTAATGTCACAATGCCAGATATGGATTCTTATCCTGTGTGGAGAGTGGCAACTGTGAATTAACATCTTGCAAAGGATACTAGTGCTGTACAGAGGCTCCAACCCATGGATTTCATATCTCTAGTCCAATTTCCATCACGTACTGTAGTGCTATCATTAGTCTATAGTTAATTGTCCTTTCTTTAAAGGTCCACTGTACTACTTGTAGCTACTTGCTTCCTCTATATAGAAAACAATGCCTAATCAGTGACCATTGGTCCCCCATGATCCTCTTTTTTTAATGTTAATTGAGAGTTGAGTTGATGAGATAGCCACCTGTCAGTGACCTTTCTGGGTAGTATAATCCCCCCTAGCCAAACTATTACTGACGGCCTTTAAAAAAGGTGATTCCTGACTTACCTCTGCGAACCCTTCGAGGTTTTGAGTTCCTCCTCCACCCTCTGATACTCCTTGTCCATGCGAATGTGCTTCTCCTGGAGGATGTTGTACTCCTTCTGCAGGGACTCGACGCTCTGGGACTCGGACTTGAGCCGGCGGAACTTGGCCTCCTCCTCCTTGAGGGAGACCTTCAGGGTCTCCAGGTCCTTGTACCTCTTCTCAGTCTCCTGCAAAGTAAAGGGTGGATTCAGATGGTGTATCATGATTCTAACATCTCATACTGGCAAAATGTCATGAATTTTCAAAGCAACACATAAGTGTTTTTTTGAGATAAATCAATGTAACAATATTTGTCTATTAACTTCTTTGTGGCCAACATGGATATCTTTCTCCACTTATTCTCAGGGGAATTATTACATAGATTCTTTGGATATGCCCATATTCAAAATTCATATACTAGTTAACACATTATCAACTGAAAAATCTTTGCAGTGTTTGATGCTATATCCATCTGGGCCCCGTTGCACAAAACTTACCATTGATGGTAACTTTGCCATCAATGGTAAGTACCATGGTAACAACAAGGCTCAACAGTCAATCAAAGTTACCATCAATGGTAAGTTTTGTGCAACGGGCCCAGATGGATATAGCACTTTACACATCCTCCCATCTTACCTGGCACTTATGTTGTACATCCTGCAGCTCTCCCTTGAGATGCCTGTAGTGTGACTTCAGAGTGCCGTGCTCAGAGTCCAGAGACTCGTACTCTGTGGACAGTGTCTCATGGAGCTGCACCAGGTTCTCATGGTCGTTGAGCAGGGCCTCGTGGTTGGCACTTAGCTCCTCGAAGCGGTCTTTGAGTTTCTCGTAGTCAGTCTCCTGGGTGTTGAATTTGGATTGCACTGAAGACATCTGGGCTGAGATGGTGGAATGCTCCACCTGTGTGGATGAAGAAGAGGGAGGAAGGGAGTGTTAGGATGGGATGGCAGTTCATGCCTTTGACAAGATCATTCTACAGTTTTATAAGTGATACTATACTGAATAATGTCAATACCCTAAACGTAATTCAAGGATGCATTATCAGTACATAGAAATGGGGTAATGCTATCAGGAGATATGGATATATAAAGAAATAATATCCCTGAAATGACCCTTTCACTGAAAAATGAAGTGTGCAGATCTGCTTTGATGAGACATTGATCCTCCATCAGTTAGTCTCACAGGAATGACTTCAAGCCATAGATGTCCCTGTTACTAACCCACAGGCACACTACTAGGGCCCATATTCCACTACGATTTAAACCTGATGCCACGTTAAAACTTCTATCCAAAATCAGGTGTAACATAGAAGTTGTCTGAGGTCTACGTTTTCCATTTGTTTTAGACCCAGGGTCGGGTAACTGAATTAGTAGAATAAAGACCTACACGTAGCCATCTTACAATATCCTACTCAAAATACCAATTGACTACCCGCTATCTTCATAAAATACAAAATTATGCATGGATTTGAATGGATAAAAAAGGAGAGCATTTTATCGTAGACAGCCGAGGCCGCACGTTAAAAAATGAGTCACGTCTTTGGAATGGGGACGTTTGAAATCGGCCCACAGACGTAAATAATCATATCTGATTGATACAAGTCTATAAAAACCCAATTGCACACACACACACGTACCTGTAACTTGGCATTCTGTGCTTGTAATGACATGTTCTGATCCTGCAAGGATTCCACCTTGTTCTGGAACGACCTGCAGTCTGACCTCATCGTCTCGGACTGCTTCTCAAGGTTCTGAACCTGGGTCTGCATGTTGGTGTTTTCGGCAAGGAAGGTGGCATTCTGTGGAGCAGAAATGTGAAACATAGTATCATATAGTTCAAGATCAAGTTTTATTTCCACATCTGATTTTATAAAGCACAAGTACAATTTATATGCATATATAGAATAACAAACGTTAAAATGAAACATCTTCAATTTAAATATAGTAGAACATATTCTGAGCTGTATATACAATGTAGGATTAACATAATTACAATAATGGGACTTATATAGCAGGTTTAATCCATAGGCATGGGGCAACAGATTGAAAAGATCTGAAGCCAGCCTGTTTTCTGGGTTCGGGAAGGAGAAAAGAAGGAGATGATTGAGATTAAAGTTAATATGAGAGGTGTTGTGGTCTAGTAGCTTAGCCAACAGACTGTGGATAACAAGGTCTCAGGTTCAAGTCCGTGCCGCTTCATTAACATTATATGACAAGACATCAATCTATATAATCACACTTGACCCAGGAGTGGTAAATAGGTACTAAATACAATTTTTTTTTCTCCTCAAAATGCCCTGTGCTCTGGTAGTGGCTTCTGGAGCCAAAGCTGGGATAATAATGGCTAAGAAGTTCTAAATAACTCCATAAGGAGCGACTGGAAATATCATGAATTAAAAAAATTAAAAAACAACCGTAACAAAAGTTACCTTTCTTTCAACCTCTACTAAGTGATCTTTCATCTGCATGATCTGTTTCGCCTGCATTCTGTCACTGTCAGATCGTCTAAAAAACAGAAAGATGACACAAACAAAAATTAGTTGATCAATTGGAGAAATTGCTTGACAGGTAAAACAGGAAGAATAGCTTAAACACTATCTACATGTAGTAAGCATAGAAAGGGAATGTATCATCCTTCCCAATTCATCATCATCATTTTTAGTTCTCCAACATCCCTGTCTCCTTCAAAACTACTTTTATCAATAATTTTCCACCAGTTTCACGTCATTTAGCGAGGAATGGTTCACACAAAGAACAAATTCTACTTTTCTCTGACAAGGCATTCACCTTTCCCATCAAATTTTGTATCCTCTACATATTCCATCATTCTGCTTCAAGTTGCCTTTTTTGCAGTTTTCACTGTCTTCTACATTAAACTCTTCTTCATTACCATCATAATCATTGATTCCAACATTCACATATTTACGATTTACTAGTAGTTTAAGAGGAATTTTGAATTGATTTCCTAAATAGATCAGATATTTAAACCACTCCCCTTATTAACACAAACAAAAACAAAAACAAAAATAATAATACAAATAATAATCTCTCTGAATTTTCAGCCCAATGTCTTTTTATCACTCACTTGACTTTGACTTCATGTGTGGTGTTGGAAGATGGGGATTTGGCACTGCTAGTCTCCTGCACCAGTTGTTCTTTGACAATTGCATTATCCATTTTGATGTTCTTCAGCTCATCTGTCAGTTGTTGATTCTTGCTCAAACTGGATTGCAGCCTGGTGAAAAAGAATAGTAGCAGAGGAAAGATATAACACTAAAGGTTTCAAGTATCTACCTGGTGATTAACATCGAAACTGGAAGAGATAAAGTTGCTCTCTCTGTGAAATGTGAAACTGTTAGAGGTAAACAATGAGAAAAACTATTCCACATTCATTAGCAATCACAATATCCTTTATGAATATCTCTATGAAGTACTAACCATGACACACATATACATAACCAAGCAAATATTTTCTTAATGAATATGAAGAAATGGTTCTAGTTTGAAATATTTGAAGTTCCAAACAAAAACTTACTTTGTTTCTAAAGTGTTGATCTTGTCATCTTTGATGTCCCTGCTCTTTTTCAATGAATCTTCCATTCGGCTTTCCAAGTCTTTGTATCGGCTGAAAAAAATATTATATTTTGGAGGGGAAAAAAAGAAAGAGTTTATATTACATAAATAAAAGATGCACACATAGATGAAAAAATCTTTCACATCATTACTTTAAGATCAAAAAGAGAGATTAGGATAATGATCTACATGGTGTAAGATCACTTTTAAAAAAACATACAATGTTGATTTGTGTTACTTTTCCTTGAGCTCTAATTATGGTTGAAGATGAGTGCAAGATCAATACAAAAGATGTTGAAATGATATAAAAAAAAATACACAAACTTGTCATCAAGCCCATTATCATGTGCAGTACCTAAATCTCTTTTTCATCCCAGCAATTGCAAATATTCAGAAAACTCAAATCATGAAGTGAACCCCAAGAGATAAAAAGTGATGGTTCTGTTTATTACAAAATAGCTTCTTTATTCTTCTTCAGGATCTCACCTTTCATCTGCAGTAAGCTCTCGTTGGAGTAACTTCTCCTTGTCCAATCCTATGCGATCCAGTTCTGAGGTTAGCTTCTCCAGGTCATTACTCAGCTGCTGGGTCTTGATCTTTTCATTTACAAGTTCCTGAGAATAAGAAATTAAGAGTATATGTGAAGAATATGATGACAGAGAGAAACCATAAGTCTAATAGAAGAAAAGACATTGTCCCACAGCTTAAGTCTGCTTATGGAATATTTTAGTTTAAAAATGTTTGATTTCAATTTAAGGTAAGACTTATCTAGCCACAGATCCCCATCACTTCTCAGAGTAGTCTCCTCAAAATGAACCTCAGTAAAATGGATTGTTCTTGAACAGAGCATTATCACAGCTTTCAAAAGCGACAGGATCCATATTTCTTGTCATTATAGTCGTACCCTGTCACAACTATCTGCAGAGGTACTACACATAAAAATCATTTTGTGCAATCAACAACGAGCACCAAGGGAGAAAAGAATTGTTTTGCGAACAATGCCTTTAGCAATAACGAACCTCCCTGAGTGTGGCAAGTGTCTTTTTCTCGATCGTAGATTGTTTAAGTAGCTCCTTGTTCTCCTTCTCCAGCTCCTTGGCCCTGTCTCCGGATCCCTTGTTCTTGCCAACGGTCTTCTGCAGGAGCTTATTGTCCTGCTCCAGGCTGCCGATCCTGGCATGGGCCTTGTCCAGCTGCTGGTCCCTGGACTCCATCAGGCCACGCAGCCGCTTGACCTCCTTCTCCAGGTTATGCTTCTCCTTGGTGAGTGTCTCTTGGTCCAGCTCCAGGGTCTTGCTGTCTTTCTCCAGCTCCTCCAAGCGCTTCTCAGAGAGACTGTGTGTGAATTAGGAGGAATTGTAACAGTGAAGAGTTTATCTCCACAAGAACAGCCATAATAATCCATGCTATCCAATATAGAATGTTGAATAAAAAAATGTAAAAGCATATTACCTACGTATAGAACCTGCATATTCCTCATGAAATTTTTCTTCATGAGCCTACATGTATACAGTAGAATGAAACGGTATATCGGCCATATAATGTTAATTTTTTGATGAGATGAATTTCTGTCAAAGCTAGTATTACTTCAGATTTTTTTGATTTTTTCATTCCTTGAGTGAAATTCCTTCCGTCTTACCTGAGAGCTTCAATTTGTTTCTTCAATCTCTCCACCTCTCTCTCCAGGTCCTGGTTATCTCTCTCTAGCTTGTGTATCGTATCCTTGTTGAGCTCCGCCACCTTCTCCACCTTCCTCTTCTCGTTACCCAGCTTCATGTTGTCCACCTCTAGCTGTCCCACCTTGTCCTGCACCGTCTTGATCCCTTCCACCATCTTCTGCAGCTGCCTGTTCTCCCTCTCACACTCCTCCTTGTAATGCTCCATCTCCGTGATCCTGGTCGCCATGCCTTTCATCGCATCCAGCGACCTCTGCAGGGTCTGCGTGTCCGCTTTTAACCTCACGTTCTCGTTCTCGCAATGCTCCAACCGCTGGACGCGGACTTTGGAAGACTCCAGCGCCCGGGTCAACTTGCTGGTCTCCACCTCCAGCTCTGTATTGCTCTTCTCAACCTCATCAAACTTTTCACACATCAACTTGAGCATTTCAACATTCCTCAACAGTTTCTCCTTCTCCAACTCCAGAGCCTCACTGCTCTTCTCCAACTCCTCAACCCTATCCGTCCTGTCTTTCAATCTCTCCAAAGATTTCCGTAATTGCTTTGTCTCGTGTTCTGCTTTGGACAGTTTACTCTGATTATCCATCATGTCCTCTAATAATTTCCTATTCTCTTTTTCTACATCCTGTATCCTCTGGTCTACATCCTTCTTATTCCTCTCCCTCAGGGTTTCTATCGTCCTTTCCAATTGTTCTTTCTCTGTATCCCATTCCTTCTGGTACCTCTCAGAGTTCTCCTTGATGGTCATGATGGTGTCATCCAGAGCCTTCTTCTCTCTCTTGAGGACACTGTTATCCTGTTCAATCTCAAGATGACCGGTCATCTCCTTGGAGCTGGCCTGTTGCACCTTCTCCAGCTTCCTGCTGAGTCTCTGGTTCTCTTTCTCCACCTCCAGGAGCCGAGTCTGGGCTTCCAACCCAGCAGACTCTCTCATTGCTTCCATCTCCCGCTGGAGTCTCTGACATTCATTCTCTAATTTGTGCACTTTACTTGAAGCACTGTCATTGCACTCTGCTGACAAGGAGGTAGCAGCTGATGAGAAGTAAAACAAGGGGGGAAGAGTAAATTCAAATGATAGATTGCTTAATACAAACAGAGGTACAGGAAATGAAATACACAATCGATTTGAGATTGAGCTTACATAAGCATTGTAGCAGTTAAACTATCACACAAAGTCTATCAGAAGATGTTCAAAAATTTATAAATTTCTGCATTTCATCACATGCATATCATTATCGTCTGAAAAGATCCAGACAGTAGTTTACTAATATGTATTACAGACCATAGTTATTCAATGTTTTTCACGAACTTATAGGATATATATATCTTACATATAATTTAAAAACTGACAATACAAACATCTAGCTTCGAACCGAGCATACCTGAAGTGTTGAGCTTAGCCTTCTCCAGCTCCACACCCAGACTGGCCGACTCGTTGAGACTCTGCTTATGGTCTGAGCTCAGCCTGGCTACCTCCTCGGCCAGCTCTGCTATCCTACCTCTGTCCATGTCCCTCTCCTCCTCCATGGTCTCCATCTGAGCCTTGGACCTGAGGCACTCTGCCTCTGCTAAGTGGCCCCGTTCCAGCTTGTCATTGGCAGTGGTGACCTGCTCCTCAAGCAGGGACTTGGTCTCAACAAGGACCTGGTTGTCTTCTTTTAATTCCTGAATGATACACATACTGGAAGTGTTACTTAAAGCCCCACTGCACTACATATAGCTACTTGCGCCCTATATCCCTCTATATAGCAAACAATGCCTAAGAGGTGACTGTTGGTCCCCCGTAATGCCCTTTTTCTTATTTAATTGAGAGTTGATTTGATGAGATAACTACCTGTCAGTGACCTTGCAGGGAGGTCTAAACCCTTCTGGCCAAACTAGGGCAGATGGGCTTTAAGATGTTAAACAGGCTGTCTGCATCTATAGGCATCTTAGACAAGTACCCTCTACTGTCTTGGATAAAATGATGTAATGAATAAAGCTATGTGCACATTTGATTGAGACAGTTTAAACTGCGTTCCAAATATACAACACTCTTCATAATAAATCTTGAATTTCTAGTTATCAGACCTGGTGAAATGATAGCCAAGCAGATAAAATGGCTTCGTTGAATGCTCTATCCAAAAGTATATGATCAATACAGAGTTTAACCTCACATACATGTTCTTGACCTTTCTTCTTCTATCAGACTATGTTACCAGTTCTCCTTTATTCTAATTCTGATTCTTATTTTTTTCAAAAATCATGATTACCTCACACTCAGAAAAACCAAATCATATTCTTTTGATTCTGAACAGACGGCTTCTCTTTCCTCTGAAAAGTTGGAAAATGCCTCACACCAACAAGAGAACAGGGACCTGTTTCACAAAGCCCTTTTACATTGACAAATTACAAAAATCAGTGACAAATCTGCCCATAGCTAATCAGAAGCGAGGATTTCAGTAGCTTAGAACAAAAACTGTCATTTGTCACTGATGACAAGTTTTGTGAAACGGGCCCAGAAAGCAACTTAGATTCCGAAAGAAGATATTTTACATAAATAGCATCTCACCTCCACTCTTTTCTTGAGGTACTCCAGCTCATTGAGTTTCTCCCTGTACTTGGCGATCTCGTTCTCATACTTCTCTGCTTTGCTGGCCTTCTCCTTCCACACATCCAGCTCATCCCTGTAGGCCCTGGCTGAACGTGCATCTTGTGTCAGCTCAAGATTCTGATGGGTCAAACACGGGACAAATAATAATAAGGCGCATAAATGGTTGAGAAAACATATTGTTTTGTAATTTTTTGTAGTTTTTGCAAGTTTGTAATAACTGTATGATATGTATGAACAACATATTCAACAAAGCTATCTGAATATAAAGATTGTAAAACACTTTAGGAATAACTTATAACAATTTGCTCATTTCTTTGCGTAATGCCCCCTAAAAGAGCATATAACAATTATCACACAAGTCAAATTCAAGTACGGCTTGCAATCCTATATACCCCAAAACCCCATTTGTCAGATATGTTTCGGTTTCACTACATGAATGCACACATATTGATACTCAAAAGTACTTGAAAAGTCACCATATATATTTTTGCTCGCTTTCTCATGGCTCATGATTTTGAGTTCAAAATCAAAATCTATATATGACACATTTCAATAAACAAATCTTTAGAAATTGCCTACATTCAGCACAGGGACACGCTTTGATCTATTCTGCCTTCTAATCGAATGTTTGTATTGATTGATTGGTAATGGATAGGGCTGAGGGGGGGGGGGGCAAGGCACATCATTACTGATACCCTCGCCATCGCTTTAAACAGACTTTTAAACTCGGCTTACCTCTTGCCGTAACTTCTGCAGTGTCGTGTTGTACTTCTCCACCTCCTCTTTGTACTCCAGCACCATCTCATTCTTCTCCTCCAGCTCCTGCCTCATCCTCCGCAGCTTGGCCTTGGACTCGGCCAGCTCCACGGTCACATGCCGCTTGTCCGTCCCGGGGCTCGTCAGGGACGGGGAGGGGGAGAGGACGCGCCCGTCCGCCTGGGATTGGAGGAACTCCTTCTCTTGACTCAGCTCCATGATGGTCTATGGATCAAACAAAGAATGAATGGACAAATAAAGAAATGATGAATTCACATCTTCTTTATATAAGCTTCTTCCATACATTCCGTAAATTTTCTATTTGGAACATAGCAGAATATGCTGTTTTGGCTCTTACCAAAAAAGATTTTTTGTTCTGCAATGAAGCACAATGAAGCAGAACAAAGCAACTAAATGCTCATATCACCCTTGATTATGTAAACTTTTTAACTGTTCTATTTTTAACATCATTTGAAGTTTCATTTTCCACAAACCTAGATGTTTGGCTGGGTGGTCCCCCCCCCCCCCCCCCTCATGATGTTCTAAATAAGGTGCCAAACTAGAAAGAATCTTTCCTGTTCACAAGCATGACAAATGTACTGAAATTACTTTAACTTTATATGTGATTATTCTGTCTTTTCAAATTTTGTTCAAATACTACACAGATGCCTACCCGGTACATACATCTTTGCAATATAAAACTGGAAGAAAAAAATTAATCCTCGCAGTTGAGCATCTGTCAGAAAATTAAGGAAATCAGAAAGGGACCAACACTGATATCATTGTGATAAAGGGTTTACTTCCTTTTCCACTCTAATGGTGAATATCATTCTCAGCTAATGTTTGTCTTTCATACAAGGAAGTTGATCTCCTTCTCAGAAACTACACTATGTGTCTACCTGAGCATTATTAGTACCGTAGCTATGAACCCAACAATGAAGATTAATGAAGATTAATGAAGATTAAGAGGGTGATTAAGGACATTAACAAAAGCCAAGGAGATAAAAGGCTTATTTTTGTACACTATGTGCTTTACATCAGCATGTTTATCAGGCTTTTAATTAATATTTAAAGTAGCCTATGCCTGAGATTCATTAGGCTTTTGTTTTGTTTGTTAGTTTGTTTGTTTCAGCTGTTTACTTCACATGAGCATTACGCATTAAAGAGCTAAAGGACGCTATACACAATGTACCCGAGATTGATCAACATTGTTTGCTTGTTTTTGTTTTGTTTGTTTTTTACATTGATGTTGTTTGTTTGTTGTTGTTGTTGCTGATTTTCCATGGTTTTCTCATCAATAATCAGTTAAATTAGTTGTATTAGCATCTCCATCATCCCGAACAACTAAACCACAAGACAATTCATGATACAATATCAACTGCAAGTTTGTCCGAAACTAGTTGGCCCTTTGCATCCACATCTGCACCCCATTAATACTACCCCTCTGGGATGTTGGCAAGAACATTTGGGGAATATTAGCACCAACAACAGACCTCATTGTCACCCTCTTTGTTTGAAATCAAAACCACATGAACATACTTGGCTCAAAGGAGAAGAAAATTTGTGAATCATGTAAGGTTAGACCGCATGATCAGTCTCCGTAATACGACCTTTGACACACGTCATACTCCTGGAATTTCATTAAGGAGTGAAACTCCTGCCAAGCATGGATGCAGTCAAGACGGGGGTTGTAACACTATTTCCGGTTATACTGTTTTCACACTGGCAATATTTTGCTTAACCCCGTACTATAGGTGGGGTTAAGGGGGGGTCTTAGCCCCACCTATAGTACGGGGTTAAGCCTATTCCACTTTCTGTTCAGACTGGTTTTTACCAAAGTGGGCTAAAGTTGGCTAACCCCACCTACAGTACGGGGTTAACTAACCCTGCAAAATAGCAGGGCTAACTCCGCAATTGTGGTGCTAACTCCTGCTAACCCCGCAATTGCGGTGCTAAGCAAAATGAATGAGAACAGAAACGAAAAATAGTCCGGTACTACGCAATGGAGCGTATCGCAGCTGGCCAGATGCGAAGTATGTCCAATCATAACATACACGATATCCGGGGTTAACGAAATGCAGTGAGAACAGCGGGAATTTTCTTATTCCGGAATAGGCGCTAGTACGGGACTAAAAACAGCGAGTGTGAAAAGCCAAAAAAATAGTCCGGGGTTAAGGATAGTACGGGGCTAAGCAAAGTACGGGGTTAAGCAAAACCAGTGTGAAAAGAGTATTAAAGGATTTGCAGTTCATGGCCTGGCTGTATCTTGTTTGTACATGGTTGCTAATACATTTTCCCGATTATTACCCATGCTACATGCACACAGGAACATGTCACATGGAGCACGAGTTGAGTGGCATAAAGGTCATTGATCCGAAAGGGAAATGTGGTACATGATTGATAAGAATGAGTCTGTCACAGCTAGGCAGACAAAGTTGGAAACATATCTTTAAATAGGAAGTTTGAGGATTGTTGATAGTCAACACAGCATATCAATTCCCCCCCCCCCCCCTCTACCATCCTGTGAAAGATTGAACTTGATATGGAACGTGGGCAGAGCATGCGCAGTTAATCTTGATTAAATTGCAATGACTGTTGATTGTTATGGCAACAGAGATGTCTATAACATACTGTACATTTTATAGTTCCTTCTTTAAACAAGAAATATTGCCCCCACCCCCAGAATGTGACTCCAGATAGATAACCAGTGTTGAGTAATCAAATAAAAATTATGATGACTTATGATTGTTATGGCGACATAGATACATACAACTGAAAGGGCCCCTCCCATCCATGAGTCAGCGCTTACATGTAATAAGTAAATGAATGAATAAAATAACTAAATAAACAAGTTTCTCCTATTATGTCACTATTATAATTACATGTCTGTATTTTGATAAGCTGTACGCAACCATTGACAAAAAAAGTAATGGTTTGGATTTGGAATGAGTCACATTTGTAAGGACAAAAAAGAAAAAAAAAGAATGAGCTCCGATTCCTGTACATAATCCTGATAAGAATTCAATTGATTCAAGGTCCATAACAGATTTTCCTTTATGTAAGAGTAACTCATTTCTCTGCCTCCCAGCAAAATTCAGTCATCAAATGCCAGATGAATTACAAATGTTTTGTGATATTTAACAATTGTTATGACGACTGAAATTGCCATTGCAAGGTGGTCTCAATACAATTCTCCTTCTCCCAAAGGACGTTTAAATAAAAAAATGTTTGTGCATGGTTAAATTGTATAGTTCATTCTATATTGGGGTAAAAAAAAAATTCAAACACAAGGCTACAGTCTGACAGGAACTTTCCTCCAAAAATGAATAATAACATTTAAAAGAAGGTTAAAAGATTTTGTTAGATGATAGACCACCTGCATGACTCAATACAATTTAAATGGACATTATAGATTTGTGCTTTGGCCCCTGTTGGGTAGAGATGCCATATAACGTATATTTCTGACAAGTGATATATTCCAGACAGCCATAATTGACTTTTATGGGATTGTACTTTCTGGGTGAATTTTCTCTGATCCAGGGATATGAGTGTTCACGAAAATTAAGAATGGTGCATGCTTGACCCTAGTTATTTGTCTACCCAGTAATAGTTGCTTTATTCTCAATTAATTTACAATGTGTACACTACCGGGAGTTATAAAATACTTATTACCAGAAAATGGTGTAACAGGACAACCTCTTACAGACTGATATTTTATTATAGGTTATATCAGGCTCCGTGCATCCATGCCAAAATTTGGCAAGTGGCATCTATTTTACAAAGGATGAAGAACATACATGTAGTTTTGCATATTTTTTAGGCCAGAGTAAAATTTCCCATAAAATTCACTGGCTGTAAATCCTACTAAAAATTTCTGCCCATTAATCGAGAAAGTTGGATTAAAAGATTATAAGTGCAACTATGTACATTATATTTTCATGAAACACATTTTAAAAGTAAGTAATAGTCCTGCTTTATCAATTCTTACAATCCTCTAGAGCTGTGTCATTAAATAACTTGACACTAAAACAAGAAAACCCATACATTTGTGTTATTTATCCTCTGTCTGCTGGAAACCATATATCACCAATGTAACATCACAGTGAAGAGATAAAAATCCAGCAGCCAGCATTTAAATTCTATCCTCATCTAAAGGGCATGTTTCCTTCTTGGCTAGATTTATGACTTCTCTGACAAATAAGTATCAGGTTTATTCTTCCTGTATACACAAACTGTCCGCAATTAAAAGCAGTACCGGCAGTGTAAGGATACAGTATGCACCCAATTCTTGGCAAACTTGGCTGTCTGATGGTGACCATTTAGTCACGTCCGTCTACTCAAGGTGCCTGTGCCTGCTTTGCAGCCCAGGCCCCCATCTTATTTCATTCATAAGGAGTTCTGACTGATCTGAATGGACCAGAAATGGACCGGAAATCCTCAACATAAGAAAAGGTTATACTTTGTGACTGATTGAAAGAAATTTGATTGATTGATATCAATACAATTTTTATAAAATGGGGCCCTGCGGTCTGGGCTCCGTCTCATAAACATTTAGATTGATTCAAAGAAAGCTCTGTACTATAGAGAGATAAGAATTTGTGATCAATCCAGTTCAATCGCAACTTCACTAAGACCGGGCTCTGGTATGTTAAAGGATCAAGTGCTACAGGTGCTCAGTGAAATCTATTTGGTCATGATATTGTAGATCTACATTTTCTCTTATGCAGTGAGCTAAATGTTATGCGAATATTACGTTTGAAGGTGAGGAAATCTAGATTGAATCCCATCCGTACTGACTCTACATCCAAAATATTATTTGAATCTAAAAGTGTCCCTATAAAATTATTTTGAAGTTCTAGAATACAGATCACTGTCCTATAGATCTGTACTAGAGCAAGATGAATACCATTTATTTTCAAACATCTATCAATAGGGGTTCAAGTAATCTAAAACTTTGTCCTTTCAATTGTACCAACAAAATGCTGTCCTGACATTTAAAACATTTACAGCTCAAACCCTACACTGTACATAACATCTTATATTGTACAGATTTCATGTGATGATGCCCAAAGAACAGCACATTCTACGACATTTCCTCCTGAAGCAACGGGGCTATTTATGTGCTTATGAAAATGGATACTGAAACGGATATTAGATTATTCCTGTGACATATTTCCTGGATGGGGGAGAGACAAGCCGTGTGATGTGGTCACAACCATCCTGGATGAAGACTCTGGGCTTAAACCTCAGACAAGATTTAGAATGTAATTACTGACTCATCGAGATCTCAGAGAGGATGCATAGAATTGTTTGGAATTAACAAAACGAAGAGCAGATAATGTATTCTTCACATCTCCAAGGAATTATGTGTATTCAGTATCCACACAGGTGTTCTATATTAAAGACCTGCTTTAAAAAAGTAGAATTTGAGCCCTATTATTTTCTTTTTTCAGACTTTCAAAAAAGCTCTTTTGGAATCATCGTGGCTTTGTAGTCCTATTTCCATCACTTTATATGTCTTTGCAAGGACAGTCTGCATCTCATTCTGGCCATGTGCCTCATATACTAGAATAGGTTACTATGATTTTAAAAACTTACTAGGCTATATCAGATTTGTTTTCTTATAAGGACTGCACAAGCATATCTGGAGATGCTAAATGGAAACTAAAAACAAAATTAACGTCAATCTGTCCCAAGCTAACATAAATCATCTTCCATATCAGATGACTATATTTCAGCCATAAAAAAGAACTGTATCAATGGCCTGGACATAATTCCTAGTGAAGTCCTTCAATCAAGGTACGGGAGAAGAGAGGAGACTGACTAATGAGACAAGCATTGTCTGTCCAGTTAAGTACACCTCACGAGACATAAACTGTTGAGGCACCCTCTCATTAATCCGGGTGTTCGTTAAGGAGCAGTTAATGCCCTTCCTCATTAAAAACATCAATGACCATAGCGCTAGGACAGCCAGGAGCTTTTAAGAGCCTGAGCAGAGTCCTGGGCTTCTGTGAGACACATCCTTGAACTGTGCCACCGCCAATTAGGAAACGATGCTTCACAGTGGCTATGAGCTAGGATCCTGTCCCACAGGAAAGGCAATTCTCTTGCTGATCCAGCTGACATGTACAGCCGCCATGAATCATACATGGGACTAGAGACTTACTTCATGGCCATGTTCACACTTCAAGAAGTTAAACAGGGTATATTGATTTATTCATGATCAGAGAGCCAAAATGTGTATCTATAGAGAATCTACACACCTTTTTTACAAATGCTCAATGGGTGCAGAAGATAATGCTCATAAAAATTGTCAAAAAAAAGCATGACATTAAAAAATCTGAAATGTTTGCAGCAGTAGACGAAAAAAGAAGTCTTGTGGAAATTACCACTTGTGTATGCTTCATTCATAGTGCTCAGCAATTATGCTATTAAGAAATCATTTACAGAAATCAAGGCTATGGGTATGACCACTGCTTTACAGGTTGCACATCATCCCAAAATGAGGTAGATATGAATATTTCTGTAAGTGGGAATGCATGCTATGTCATGGGAGGTAATGTCCCTTTATCGTATCGGGGAGGAGGGGGGTGTGATCGAGAGGAAGCTTTAGTCACTGTGCAGGCGTATCATCTTACTGGCTCAGCAGCACAGTCGGGCATCCTAAAATAGAGCATGCGTTGGGATTACCAGCAGGAAAGGCGCTATTTGATGACTGCTTTGATCCATGTTGGTAAACGGGGAAGTCAGATGTATCCCTACTTCACATGGGAGATTTACACTCAAGTATGAGACAGACACACCGTGCATGGTGGCCTGACATGTGCCAGGGTTCCTCACTAACTTGTTTGAAAGAGGGTCCTGACTTCTTACATGTTGTATGCATGCATACTATGTAAAAATGTCCAGATTTTGGGTGCCCATGTGGCCCAGGCGCCTATTTGTGTCGAACCCTGCATATAAATGCTCTAGCAACTTTTGCTCCTGGCTTTATCACCTATATAGTTAGGTTAGGGCTGCAACAGGGTTTGGGGTTTGGTCTAAGGTTAGGTAAAGTGACTGGTCCCATTTATCATTTCCAGAGGACTTGTTAGGGGTAGGGTACAAATATTTCCTAACCAGTCTTTCACAATAAAAGGCTAATGATTTTTAAAGAATGTGATCATTCATATCAATATCTGTCTTTCACCAATATTGTGCATTTTTAAAGTCTAACATGAGCTAGTTTCAGTTTGAAATTATTATGAAATCTGTAATATGTAAACTGAAAAAATTGCTATACTGATTTGAGCTCAATAGGGCATAAAAACTGCACTTTGTGAGCCTAATGTACACTTTCTTTGGCCAAGTTCACCAGACCAACATTAATCTTTGATGTAGTAGAAGCGGTCAGCTTACCTCTGAATAGTCATCTCTCTCCGATGCCAGTCTGCGTAGATGGTTGATCATGTTCTTAGAGACTATCTCTTTCTGGGCCTGGTCTAGATCACTCAGCTCACCTAGCTCCAGGTTGAACACATTCTCTGAATTATCCGTCACCTGCAAGAAAGACAAATCAAGTTTAATTTAAATCATTTTCACAGTGACCTAAATTAAAACGTTAAATCAAAAATATTGATAAATGACACAGGTAGGCTACTCTCAATCACATTTACATATTGTAAATATTCTGTTTAAATCTCCAGAAATTGGGATTATATATAATTGAGGATTAATTTGTTTTATAACTGTAGCAAACGCAATTTTCAATGGAGATACATTGCAGTTGGGACATACCACCGGTGGAAGTTTTAATGTGTTGTTTAATGAGCTAAATAGAACTTACATCTTTTAAAGCAGGTGTTTGATTAAGAAAAAAAAATCAATTAAATATTCAACAGCCTTGGATGACCTTCAAAAATGATATTCTCCTATATCACAACTCAAAGTGATAAATAAAAATTTACTAAACTTGTAAAATGGCTGCATCTATGTAATCCATGCATAATATTGACTAATGACTGTATTCATCATTCTTCCTCTACCCTAATTGCAGGTGCTGAAATCTAATCCTGTTCATCAATCCTCATTGATCACGCTCTCTAGCTTCTCTTAACCATTATAAAACGGTGTCATGTCATGCATAATATATCACTGACATGGAACCCATCCTCATCCGTGGGAATAAGTGGCTCTCTCTTCCATCTAAGAGAGTCATCATCCGTAAGGAGATGGAGGCTGAGAGGTGGGGCCTGGGAAGACGAGGGAGATATCGCCATGGCGATGCCGATTCCGAGGGGAATGGTTTTACATCAGCGGCATATTGAATTTGATAAGAATGCTGATGATATATTTTGAGCTTACTTGAGCATCTATTGGCCTACCTAGGATTTACTGTTCAAAAACTAGAATATCATATCACCCGATTTAAGAGCTTGCCTCCCTGACTATAACACCTTGTCCCCTCCTTTAATAACATCTCAGTCTTGCTCCATTACATGAACCATGAAATAGTCCCCACTACATTTACTGAACTTTATTTTTTAGTTTGATAAGATTTTGATGTGCGACTTTAATTACAATTGTTTCACCAGGCCTCTGTAGAAGATGAAAAGCCTGTGTACAACACAGGAAGGGAAGTATGTGCATAAATTGTTTCTCATGTTTTGTAGAGACGAGATCTATAAATAAGGAAGCTTATCGAAATATGAGAGATGAAACATAAACATTCATTTGGACATGATTTTGATATCATTAAAGAAAATGACAATAACAGCTGAAGCCTCCGCAGCTGCGGTTAACAAGGCAATGGCTGACAAAACACTTTTGTCTGGGATATTCTTTATGAGGCTACATGTAGTTAAAAACACCAGTAGTCGTTACAATGTGGTCCACACCTTACATTTTCAGTGCATTCTCCATGTACCATACCCAACCCCCCTCCCCTTCCACATCATAAAATTAATAACTTTGCCTAAATTGCAACAACCAACAACAAAAAGGGGAGGGGGTCTTATTTTGTCAGATCACCATACAGGATAGAACAATAACCCAGTTGCAGATGTGTTTACCCATACTTGAACATTTACAATGGTTCTGAAGGGATTTTGAGTAACTCATAAGCATATAATAGATTATTTGCTTTTTGATGAAATCATCTAGGGGTTTAGAGAATGTTCTCTATGTGTATGATTGTTTGAAAGTGAAAGAAGTAATGTGATTAATTTGTTACCTGACCCAATTTGAAGGATTACAAACATTCTATATCTGTGGAAATGACACTAATTGCCCACTCAGTCCTGGATTCAATATTAAATGCTTGACCCAGTTCAAGGTGCAAATAGGCAGAAGCAAATAAGGAAATAAAACGTGGATCAACGCCTGCCAACTCTTACACAAACATGAATGTGAACATGTATACATGAAGGCTCAGGGTTAATCTTCTATCAGGGGATAAACGCAGACGCATCATGTGAGTTTGTCATAACCCCACTGACTGAAAATCTGTCCTTTCCTCCACCCTTTTTCCGGCAGCATGCTTGAGCCAATTTCCTCTCGTGAGTGACAAATAATTCGGTTTTCTAAACAGCATCTGTTTCTCCAGCCTTGCCCCTGTATTCCAGGGATGTGTTCAAGCTATGTTACTCAGCTACTGTATGGGATTCACCCCTTGCCCATGGCCATACAGGGGATGGTACAAGAGTTCACGTATGTAGGCTATACATAGGGTACGCTTGAATAAAATGTCATTGAGGAAAGAGAGCATGGTAGTTCCATGAAAATTCCAACTTCTAGTAGCATATTAAATAAAGGGTGTTGATCATGTTATTGAGGAGTCAGGAATGATTTTTTTTTTTTTAATTGTTGTGATGCAACTTATTTTTCAAAAGTGCCTGGTGGCCGGTATCATCTGGGATTGTCACCAGCAAATTAATTATTGGTGGATAGTGTGAAAGCTGAGAGGCTTAAAGAGAGAGAAGTGATAGAGAGAGAGAGAGAGGGAATTGGACAGGAGGAATGAGAAATAGTAAAGGAGTGAAAAAGAGAAATGAGATAGAGTGGATAGAGGATGCAGTATTAAAATTTAACTTCATTGAGAGAGACAGGGATATATGCTAATAGTTCTTTAAAGAGTCAAGCCAAGAATCCTGTAGGAACTTGTGCAATTATCTTGCAACCAAACATATAGGCCCAAATTCACAAAGGAGGTTTGTAGACAAACATAGTTTATGTGCGTCATATGATGCGTTTTGACGCGTTTCAGACCAAGGTTTGTCCGAACCTCGGTCTGAAACGCATCGAAACACGTCATATAACGCACAGATTTGTCGGCAAACCTCCTTTGTGAATTCGGGCCTTATAGTCTGACTGGTTCACAATGAAATGTTTACCTCCTGAATGTGAAGAACGATCTCCTGCTGCACATCCAGATCCAGCAGCTTGATTCTTTCGATGAAGAGTTCCTTCTGCTCGCACTGGACGACGCATCCCAGCATGAGAAGCAACACCTTGTGGACCTCCCTCAGAGCCTCCTCGGTCAGCGGCTCCTTGGCGATGGTCAAGATGTTGGGCAGCTTCATCACAATCAGCTGGTCAAGCATTTCCTGAAGGAATTGAGAGAAAAAGAGAAGACGTGAATTTCAAGTCCCAGGGTAGATCGAGGTTCAATCGTGATTGCTAATGTGGCATCATACAAGAGTTTCAAAGGCATTGCACAATAACATGGTGATGCTGTGAGATAATTATTGTTCATAATGTTAACAGGATGTATTGGAAGGAAGAGTGGAAGGAAGTAGACCTAGAGGTAGACCCATAATCAACTGGGAAGAGTATGTCAAGAACTGGAGTGGACTAAAACTGCAAGAGTGCACCAGAATGACAGAAGATGGAGTGAAATGGAGAGACTGATGTTGCAATCAACCTCCGAAACGGAGAAGATACTTAGATAGATAGAATGTTAAATGAGGGTGGTGCATAATTCATTGTCGATATTGTACACCCAGGAATCAACACATTGATAAACATGTATATGACGAATTCATCAGTACATAAAACACCATTGAATTGGATCCCCCTCCCCCTCCAAAATAAAAAAAGAATGGTGGAAAATCATCTGCTGAGTGCAGGTTAAGTGTCAGCTAGTATTACATTCTACGTAACTCGCAGCTCTAGGCACATCAAATGTGGAGAAAAAAACCTCTGAGTACAACTTTTGGACGTACATATTAATCAAGTTCTGTGATTTGAGAGTGTATGTGTTAGTGAGCACACCCTAGGCTGGCTCAATTATGATAATGTACTCGTGATAATGCAGACGATGTACAGATTGTCAATGATGGACTCATCATACTGCTCCGCATACAGTACATAAAAAGGGATGAAACATTGCTTGTCTTGACATTTCTGACAAGCTAAACCATCTCATTACCATAGAAATCCAATTACAGTCATCATAATGATGATAATCTGATTATATCATCCACAGTCTGGATGACTTTTAGGAGAATGAACCATTCCCCCACCCCCTGGAAAAAGTAGGCTACATTGCATACCTACAAAATTGTGTGTATATCTTTAGTGTTTATGATAAAAAAAGGATTTCTAAATCATTTACTCCATCATACATGTAATTCATGTATTCTATTGACTCATAAGAAAATCCTGTTTAACAAATGATGTCAAAAGCAAGCACATTTAAACCGAATGCTTCTGCATTAAATATTGAAGAAAGATTTGAGAGACAATAGAAGTAGATATGAAATTACTTGACCAGCAGTTTATTGTTGCTGTTTTTTTATAAATAATTCACACATATACACAGATTTTATTTGATAGTATGTGATGGTCCCTTTAAAACCCCTGTAATGAAATAAATGCCACTCATTATAATGCAAGAATTATATCACGTTTTAAGAGTCCTATAAATGAAATCCCATGGCTCAGAAAAATCCAATAATACACGTTACTGGCTCTACTTGGGATGAGAGTGTATCACCTGACGATAAGCAGTCATTCTAAATTGGATATATCCTAAATTGATTTTTCCTGACTACTCGTTTTCGGAGAAAAGGTCCTTGATGTCCGTCCAGTGTGATAGCTGCTTGTCAGCAGCGTCACAGGTCATTTCATGTTCATAGGCAAAAAAGGGTAGTTTTTGGGAGTGTACATGCAACACACATTGAAGTGTTATGCAATAGATCAGAAGGTTTCTCTCCATTGAGACGTAAGAGTTACTCTGCGATTATGCGATTTCGAAATACAGGGGTGGAGTTCTCCGAGACATCAACCTTTGAGCATGATAGTCTTATATATGGTGGGGGGCACCACCTCAGCCCCCTGACCGCTTTGGATTTACCACTACAGGCATTGAAGTATTGGGCTAAACTTTGGATAGCTAGCCTACATGTTGTCATAAACCTGAATTACTGTATATTCTGAAGGAAAAAAAAACACTCAATAGATCATGACTAATGTGTAAAGACCACTTAACAAGAGGCTTTTTAACATAAATTGAGGCACACATAGCACATTCATGCACTGAAAGGTACCTTGCTGTGAGAACATGTATGCAGGGGAAACGAACAAAATCAGGATAGAACTCAATTCAACTCACGAAGTTATAAAGTAAGGGAAGGAAACCAGTATGTGACCCCATGGCATGCTTTGTGAAACCTTGTCTGTACTTGACAATCACAGCATGCTCCCATTCAAAAAGTGGCACGATGCAGAGAACCCACTTCACAGGGATCCTGCCATAAAGTGCTCCAAAAGACAAAAGACAGGAAGGGGTCCCTCTCAAAGCATTTTAATACAATGTATACATAGGAATCTTTGCCCAATATGTTTATGATTTTATTTCGTAATGACTTCTCTAAAAGCACACTGTGAGAGTCCTCGTTCAATTGGAAATATAGCATTTTGTTTTCCATTTACTAATATCAGCCTGTTCTTTGGTTGAATAGACATTCTTTTATCCACTGACACTTGTTGTACCGACAGATGTTGTACCGACAGATGATTTTTTTTTAATGAGTTGGTGTATTCAATAAAAATATAGGTTTTCCCGCCCAATTTCATCAGAGTTGCATCCGATTTAACGATGCGATCATTCAATTTCGAGCGAATTTGAATGATCACCGAGATCAACATTCAAAAAGCTAATTAGTTCATTCAATTTAATTGTATAAGCATGCGATTTCATGATTTTCTCACATAAACGTGTAAAAAGCGCGTTCAAAATAGAAATGCACGTAAATGCATTCAATTTCGCACCTGCATCGCCCTGATAAACGTTAAGGAATTCAAATTGACGAATAGGCAAGCATTTACAGCATTTGGGCAGTCTTTTTCATTTACTGTTTATGTTCTTTGCAATCTGCATCTCTTTGAATAAATTATGCAAACTTTATGTACCTTGAAATGGGACCTTTCCCTTATAGTGAAATATCTCATTTATCTGACAAACCGTCACGTAAACAAATTATGATTTCTAACCATTCTGTAAGTGTTATGTCCATATTGCTAGGGAATAAAGTGAAACTGGAAGAAAAGATTAGAAAGAAAAGAAATATATAGAATATGATAAAATTAAACATTATGAAACTTTAAGAATGAAAATTAAGTTATATAATTAAAACAGTGAGAAAAACAAATATGACGTGAAAAGATTGCGGTAAGAATTACATATAACTTCAGAACTTGTTTATGTTGATTTAATTTGAACGTTCAAAGTGCGAAGGTGTGAGCCTATAAATGAAATTGAAATTGGTATTAAGGACGAAATTGAACGTCTATCCAGCTTGCGTGAAATTGAATGACAACTTAGCGTCACTAAATTGAATGAAATAACATTTAAAAAGAATGATATAAAATGAAATTAAATGCTCAAAGAATGAAATTGAACCATGAGAGCAGAGAGTTGACGAAAACCGTTGGAACTTGAACGCCTATTCATGAAGTCGAATGCAACTCTGATGAAATTGGGCGGGAAAACCTATATTTAATAGAATCAAAAAGCTGTAATGTTGTTTGTTTACATCTACATTCTCCCATTCTGTAATGTTCTCATCCCAAAACAATTTTCATAATATTGTGAGAGCAGACGACCCATACACTAGCAGTCGGCAGACTAAATGTGTTCTTTTGTGCGTGAGCAACAGGTGGCAAATGGGCTATGACATATCTAGACGTGCTGCTATGGAATGAGTACTCAGAACGACTGAGCACGTTGCTTAAAGGAGTGGCCCAAAATAAACCTGGAAAAAAAGAGCTTGCTGTAATTGTAGTCTACATCTTCAAATAAGCTACAGTGATAAATATTTGGTGTGCATGCATTACAAGGTAGAGTTGAAACACTAGATTGTTCGGACAGAAATATGCCCATCTGTATGTCATTTCCTACGGATTGGGAAATTGAAAATCTATGAAAATGTAAAAGCCTAAATGAAATTTGGCAATTTAGGGTATGGAGAATGTGCCTTGCCCAAAAATTGCAGTATTGTTGATAACTGTAGGCCTATATTCATGTACTGGTATGTGAAACTTCTTCGGAAATCAAACCGTGAGCACTGGAAATCAAGCTGTGAGCACTGGCAATCATAATAACGGTATGCAAGAATTCATGAGCTAAGTTTCAGTTTCGGAGCATCCACTAGTGATCTTTTCTTTGGGCCTATGTAGTTTTGATGCCTCCATGTCAATTACCAATTGAACCAATGACAACTGACAATCTCACACATTTCTTTTTCAAAATACATGTATGTTAAATTGTTCTGCGCCAACATACGTGTATCCCCCAATACAACAATTGCTCCAGATATTCTTTCCCAAAGATGAAAGGTTAGGGTTAGATATTGTGTTCGGTTCATGGTTGAACTCAAGAATATGGTTAGTGTAGGGGTTTGGCAACAGAGCAATTGTCACTGTAGCACGTGTCCCAACTACATGTACCGGTAGTTCCTTATCTATGAACTTTGTCAGATGGGACATTAGGCGCGTCTTCATCATCTCGAGATTGCCAAATAGCCTGCTATTTCTGATTTGGGAAATAATCCCGAAGTTACAAATCGCGTCTCTTAATTAGCTTGAGATTCGACCTCGAAACTTGAAACTCGACCTTGAGAAATTAGCTCGAGATATTTTGCTCTGCGTTTGCGCATAGTGCAAGTCATTGGTCTGGTGAAGACGCAACGGACAAATAGCTGGATATTTTGCCAAATAGTGGGATATTTTGCAAACTATCCCAAGATAACTTGGGATGACAATCCCGACCAAATATCCCGTTAATTGCAACTTCGGGCTGATGAAGATGCAAATTAGCTGGATAGTTTGCGATCTGGATAGTTCAAATAACGGGATATTTGGCAATCTCGAGCTAGTGAAGACAGGCCAATTGTCCCTATATGTTAGAGTTATATTAGTTTAGACCGGGGTGAAGGTGGAAGTAATTGACAATGATAGGATGTTATTGAAATATTGAATGAAAAGCTGGAACCGGAAATATGACAGGACCTAGTTGGCTGGGTAGATCCGATGATTGATGCCTAGATTTGTAAGAGGAATGCTACTATACCCTGAACATGGTAGCTCTAGTTCCTCTTGAACT